CAGGAATGACTGGAGAACCATTTTTTAGAAACATTTTTTCTAAAGATTTCTTCCTGTTTAGAATTCTCCAAACAGGCAGGAAAAAAAACCCGGCAGCTAATAAAAGTATGTTGCTACAGACAAACAGATGTGAAGGGGTTACACTATCCTATGAAATCCAAGTGGTAGTGACTTTATGCAGACTTTGCATAGTATAAAAATCTAGAGAAGGGAGAGGAAGAGGTGATGCCAGCTAGGTGGCTTCTTTCAGAAATGCCAGATAGACCTGCTCTAATGAAAAATTAGGTGGTAGAGAGGGAGAAGAGGATTATAAAGGCTTGTAAAGAGAGGAATGACAATAAAAACCATTATCACCGCCTCACAAATGATAACTTCTTTTGGTATTGTGTGATTTATGGAAAATATCTAGTGCCAGCTTAGTCATATATTCTCTATTATACTTGTCTGTTATCCCCATCTCTACATTACAGTTCTATTTTGGTATTTTTGAGAATTTGTTGTGTTATTAATTATTAAAGCCCAGTCAAGATTGATTTAGTTTTAATGTACTTGATATTTTCTGTTTGTACTTCCAAATTATAATTTCTAATAATATATCAAATTATTATTGAAAAAAGAAACAGCAATAACTTGGTTTTAAGATGTAAGAGAAATCAAAAAGCATTAATTAAGCCTTTATAAATTCACAACCACTTGTCTGTAAACAACAGAAACTTATCCAATGGAGCTGGCAACCTTTTAGAAATTATTTTATTAAATGTAGAATTTAGAAGGCTCTTTTCCTCCTGCCTGTTTGTTTTCATGTCATTTTGTATTAGGGAAGCACCACTTTTAACAGCTTACAGTTGCGAAGTGATCAGCCTTTGACTCACCCATGGTCTGCAATCTGTTTTTTCCTGTAGCACTAATCTGGCACAGCAATGCAAGTACAAACCCTGTGCCAAATCCAGCACTGATATATGCCTCTGGTGCAATTCTATTTGACTTCAGTTGGAAATGCACAAAGTATAAATCTATGAAGGATTTCAGCCCCTGTTCTATACCAAATAATTTTTAGTCTGATCTGCATGTGGTGTCAGACAGCTTAGCTCCATTTATTATCTCAGCTGAGTTATGCTGATTTACGACAGCCAAGGAGCTGGCCCCATATGTGCAACCTGCAATATAGCAATGAAAATATTTCACTGGAAGTTCTGTCAGAGAAATGCGCTACTCCCAAGATTATAAACTTACGCTGTTCTGGAAGCAATGAATTCTTCACTCCCGCTCAATGCCTTTGTTCCATTAGATACCAGGGAAAACTACTGTGAGTGTGAAAAAAGAAGCCTGCCAAACTTCTTCACATCTGCTCATATTGCACTAATTGCATCCTTTGAAACTCTCCTGCTCCATTTGTACATCAGCAGTTCAGGAGAGCGGCACTTCACACAATACCGTACGCACAATGAAAGGAGGAAAACAATTGTGAAGTGATGAGCTAAGACAATGTACAGATTGGGAAAAGATGCACAAAAATCTCATTGGAAAGGCTCTGTGGATCAAAACAGAGATGCAGACATGCAGTGCTAGGCTCCATGCAAATCTGCAGAGCAGAAGCCAAATCAAACCAGTAAAAAGTTGAAATTCTGGAAGGGGCAAAGAGAATTAGTATCCAAGATTAAAGGGTTTGCCAGTTAAATCTGAGGCAAAAATATCCTGAGAAAATTTGAACTTAAGCTCTTATCACATTGGTATTTTTTAATATATTAACAGATTAAATTTCCTCCATGCCTACATGAGGAAGAGTACTTTGAGGTAAAGAGTGAAATATATTAATGTACATAAAGACAGAAAAATATGCAGTTAGATTTTGCATTGTGTATATATGAAAAGCTAGTGTAATGACTCCAGAAAGACTGTTAGATACATATTTTTATTAAAGTGAAATATTTCATAAAAGCATCAAATCACTGAAGAATAAAGCTGTGGAATCAACCAACAGACTTTTAAGAAATGGTTTCAAAGAAACATTAAAAACAATACAGAAAGTATTTATTATCAAAATTAGAATAGATGTAATGGTTGATGTTCATAAGAAAAAGTGGCAAACAATCATTACGTAGAGGCTGTAATCAATTTCACCAGGGCTTATTTTTAAACTAAACTAGGCAAGATACAGCCTAAATATGGATTGTTATTTTATTCATTTGCAGAAAATAAATCATTGTCTAGACGTCTATACTTTAAAATTCATCCCTGCAGAAACAAATTTAAAGAAAAATAATAGAAACAGAAATAAATGAATGTTTGAATTCAGACCTCATCTTTGATAAGTTGAACTTGACATGAAGGTTGTCCAAGATTTCATATTTCTCAGAAGAAGCAGACCTAGACAAACTTGTCATTTCACTTCCCAGTTGAAACCTTTGCTCAAATTCTGCAGAGCTGTTGTCCCATGAATCATCGTCTGTGCTAAAATCTGGATTATGAAGAGCCATGCACTGGAACCTGTCACATATTTTCAGTAAACATAATAAAACAAAAGAGTGGTTTATTTCAACAGGTAGTAGATACAGAATCACAGAATCACAGAACGTT